TTTAAAAAAAAAAAAAAAAAAAAAAAAAAAAAAAAAAAAAAAAAAAAGAAAGAAAGAGAGAGAGAGAAAAGAAGAATAGTAAAAAAAAGATTGACATGTGTACCTTTATGGGCTTTGGATGATCCTTATTATGTCCAACAGTTTTCAAAAGACCAGGCATAAGACTGGTTCGTACAACCTGGCAATGTAAGTGCAAAACTTCATAAAAATACTAAGGTAGAGCATCATTTCAGATGTTTTGTGAAAGCATACATAATTCAAGTGATTTCTAGCATGTGTCATATTTACATCGGCTTACCCAAGTTGATGAAAAAACCATATGTGTTTACAAACCTCAAAATCTGTTGAACGGGGATTTCCAATGATAACAGCAGTAGATTTATCATCTTCACGCTTTAACATGGCAAAATTCTCTTTATAAGAACATAGGATCCACGTAAGTACCTCCGTGAACCCACTCATTGCAATCTACACAGAAACGAGTGAATATAACAAAATGGCTAGCAAGAAAAGTTATATATCAGAGCATACATCAATTATTACTAATATGTACCTCTCCTCTGATAAGGTCACTGAACTCATTTAATGGTAGAGGCTGCAAAGATGCCGGTTTACTCTTTGGAATGTTATTGAACCCATAAGCAATAGCAACATCCTAGAAAAGAATAAATTTGCATGATCAATAGCTATTTGCAAGCTGCATAGGAAGTATGTATACACATGTATTCACAAGATTATTTCCCTACTGACTATCCATACCTCCATGACATCACATGGGTGAAGCACGTCACTCCTTGTTGGGGGCACAGATATAGTTATACTAGACTTGTCACCAGATACAGACTGTTCAGCGTGCAATTGCATCCTGTTTAACAAACTGGTAACCTGGACGATTGTAAAATATCACAAGCCACGTCATATTCATTCCATCGAACCTATATACCTACTAATCATTTCACCTCATCTTGCAAGTACTTAGGATTGGAACTTACACTAACTTCCTTGAAGGCATTCCATAATTGAAATTAATCTTTTTCTTCTTTGGGTAAAAAACCAAGAAAGTTGAGCTATCATGACTAGGTTGAACAGCCTAACATTATCTTATAAGAATTTATAGTTTGCATTTGCACCAAGCCAAAGTAAAATGTTAAACTCAAGCCTAGAGGATAACTTACAGATCAAATTATTGATGAGATGAAATTTGAAAGGGGAAAACAAGGTGCCAAAGGATTTACAAAGTAATCATTAAGTTATTGGTTCTTACATAAGTTCCCATTATGATATAGGACGATACTGAAGCAGAGTTAATATAACCGTATGGCTAAAATGAAGTTTGAAAAACTTCTATACGATGATATTCATATATTGGAACAACTGAAGTAAATAACAGTAGTAATCATTCTCAACGAAAATTTAGTAGCACTTGACAGAAGAAATATAGATATAATGAGCTTAGACAACTACTACTACACATCTGCAACAGTTTGTTACTAAAATCACCAATTACAGTGTAGCATACAGTGCAGACAAATGGGAAACAGAAAATCAGAAATGAGAACCTTTATTGGTTCTTGTGTCACAGTGATGTTCTAGAAAGGATCATTTGATGCCGTTTGTGACAGTTTTAGTAATCTCTCTCAACGAAAATTTAGTAGTAATTGACAGAGGAAATAGAGATACAATGAGCTTAGACCTACCTCTTCTGCCTCCAATGAGACTCCAATGCAGTTAGTGATATAAGACAGAGAAACTTCCATATTGTAGAGAGATAACTCTGGATAAATATTTGACTTCCCATCTGAATATATCACTTCAACTGGTTCAATTTCAAACTTCTTTTTGCACAGTGCTGAAAATATAGTTACCTAATAAGATTAAAAGAAAATTCCAAAAATTAGGGATTACTATACATCACCAAATAAATTCTTCCACAACATAAAAATTTCTTACCACGGTATTCAAGACAATATTTGCCTTTGTCAGATCAGTTGCAGTGCATTCAATAAACACATTCTTTGTCTTCAAAGTAATAGCCGAATGTGCACCATTGATAATTGGTGGTAAAGACAAAACAGTTCTGCAGAAAGGAGCTCAACTTATTTCAAAATACGGTATTTTTTATGTTTAGAGAAGTTGTCAATAATAACAAAAAATCAGTCAATTCCTTTTCTTAAAAAAAAAAATGGAAAATTATAACGCGTTGTCAGCTTGTAAAACCATTGAAATTGCTTAGTCCAAAAGGTACAAAATAAATAGACGTAAAAATAACTTAAGCTTCAATTTGTCAACAAAAGAAAGAAATTTAACTACCAAGTTTCCAAGAAGCTAATGACAAACTATAAAATGCATGTGTTTATTGGTAAGAACAAGTAACCCAACCAATTAAGTTCTAGAAGATCTATAACTAGTTCAAACGCAAGAAAATGTCGCGGTAGTATACCTGTTGCGATCAAACAAAACAGGAAATACAGGTGATTTTTCTATTATGTGCAAGAACTTCTTCAGCTTCAAATCTGACTGCAAATGAGCATGGAAAAACATGGATCAAAATATTTTGACATCAAGTTCAGAAACAAGAACTCTAATAAACATCATATCAACATACATTCACTAGAAGGACTAAATATCAGACAGAAAATAGATATATTTTCGTTAAAGCACTTACTTTATAGTACTCCATTAGCTCGTCAGCTCTGAAACTCTTCGTCTGCATCACATAACAAGATAAGAAAAGTTCATTTCAAACAACATTAAAATACTATATTCTAAACCAGGTCAATGATCAAGGAAGTAAAATATATAAGAACATATCTCTTTTGTGGAATAATCTTATTTGTGCTTTTTTGTGGTCCATATGGAATGAAAGAAACCACAGGACCTTCAAATCAAAGGAGATTACACAGAAATTTTATTGATAATGTTCTTTATCTTGCCTTTTCTTGGTGTAAATTGAATTCTCTCTTCTCCTCCTATTCTATGTCCTCCCTTTTGTCCAATTGGAGATGTTTATTGTAACTCCTTTGGATCGGGGATCTCTTTCCCCTTCTTTTATAATTTCATATCTCAATGAAATTGTTTCTTATCCAATAATAATAATAATAATGAAATGGTTCAAGGACAGACTAACAAATAAGAATCATGTCAACTAAGGTTACTTCAGAACCACTTCTATAAGGGTCCAAAAGAAATTCCAAACAGGGCAACATATCCACACACAGCAAGTAGATATTCTATTCAATTCAATCACGGAAGTAAGACCTTCAAAAAAAAGAAAAAAGGCAACAAGAAAGCAAGACAAATCAGTTCACATAAAAGATCTTGATGGGAAATCTGAATACTCATCTGTTCCATCTCAACAACGGATAAAAATAAGGAAAAACTTGTTCTAGGGACATTATAGTTTTTATAGTTTTTACCTGTTTTAGTGGCACAAAGTTTATGGCTGATGGTGGCAAAGCCTGAAAAAATGAGATGAAAGTGAGAATGGCAACATTAGGACACTGAATTCACCATAAATAAGTATCCACCAGAATTAAACGAGAGAGAGAGAGAGTGAGAAAGAAAGAATAAACCACAACTAACACTGCAAAGATGATACAGAAACAATAAACAATTGTCAGATAGTATAATCCGTAGTATTGCACTACAGCAGCAGCCTTTTTTAGTATTTCATTATTGTCCCACAACAAACACTTCAAGGATGAAAGGACCAACTTCACAGATTAATTTTCCAGAAACGTTACAGAAACTGAGGAACAATTGTGAATAGACACAGACGGTGTCTCTACCATCAATCCAATGCAACACAGCATATTCAACTAGACCCGCTAATAGAAACAGAATATATACATTCTCCCAAGAATATGAGCACAAGGAAAGCCCACCTCATAGGTGAAAGGGCCTTCAAGTGTATCCAGGTCATGAGTTCCGATGGCAACAAGAGTTCTCCGTCTAAAACAAATTAAACAAAATTCTTGAGAGAACTCTTACAGTGAAAATGAAAATAAAACGTGAAATAGACTGAGAATAGGAAGTAAAATCTAAAAATTAGGCCAAGCAAAAAGAATATAATTAACAAAGGAATTGCTCATCCACCAAACTACGACTTGATCACACAATTACTTAATTGCTACATACTTGGACCCCATATCCTATATCCTTATGGAATCTCTAGAGTAAGAAAAAAATCCAAGTTATAAGTTGCGACTCTGTAGCTTTACAACTTCTGTGCCTGATGGGAAATCAGAACGATGCACAAAATAGGAGAAGATCACGCTGCATATGGCACATATAGCTAAGATCCAAACTTACCGACATATATTCTGATGAAGTTTGTCTTGCAGATCAATAAAGCTATTATAACTTGCTTCATCAAAAGTTATGTCTCTCAAAACAGCACAAACCACATAAGGGCGAACCAAGGAAGTCTGTGAAGTTGAAAGTTTCAGACCAATAGAAATAAGTTGAAATTATCAGTAGTAATATAAATTACACATTCAAATGGAAACTATACCTCCGGGTTTACATGCATTTTGTGCATAGATTCCTTGCTGATATTGGATAATTTATATCTGGGTGTCTCTTCTTGCTTATTAAAAATGCGCAGTGCTTGAGCAAGCCCTTCAAGACAGAGCAAATCGTATCTACAAAACCATAAAGTATATTTACCAGCTATATCCCAGATGCCTACAATTACAGCGTTAAACTAGTTTTATCCAGTGATATTTACAACGTTGGTTTTTGGGGAAAAAAATTAAAAATTAAAAAGAACCGTATGCAGGCAAATTTACAAACAGATAACATCTCTTCTTTTAGAAGAAAAAAACATCAATTAGATGTGTCACAAATTTACAATACAAGATTGACAAAGAACTATGCCTAGCAGCACCCTCAAAAGACACGCACACGAAGAAGGAAAAGGAAAAGCAATCTGTATTGAATCTTAACAGAGCCACCAACAGCAAATTACGAAGAAATGTACCTGTTAGCGGGGACCTCAATCTTGTAGATGACTTCTTCATCTTCATCCGCTTCTTCTTCCAAATGCTTCTCTTTCCTAATGATCGCCTTCTCTGTCGTCTATACAATCAACAAGCCAATGTAAAAAGAAAATGTCCATCCAAATCATAGCTATGATCGATTAAACTCAAAGAAAAACATCGGTAAGCTGATAACGCAAATAACGCAAGGTACTTACAACGTCATCAAGCTCAATCCCAAACCTAAAGCACAGCTCTTCAAACTCTTCCTGAGCTAAGAAATGAAAATGAAACCAAAAAAGAAAAAAAAAAATTAACAGAATGCAATAGCATCATTGAATAACGTGACATAGGAAATCACTGCAAGCTCACAGTAAGTTCTTCCGAGGGCAGCAAATAGGCGATCTCTTCCGACGCTTACGGTCGGCATGGTTGACTCTTCAGAATGTACGACGCTACACCAGCAGAAGCAAAAACACTGCGGTTGGCGGCTACGAAGATAAGTCTGCCGGTCGCGCCAACTGTTCAACAAACAAAGTGGCTCTTGGCTCCAGATATCGCACTATTGGGCTAATGGGCCCATTTTTTTCGAGTCCAACGAAACGGGCAGTGCCAGCCCAGCCCATTAAATTTTTAATTGCTGTTTCGTACTATAAAGTTTGTACAATATTTTGTCTAATTGTGAAAACATTATAGTAAATAATAAAAGAAATAAATTAATATGTGAAATTAATAAGCTTAGTCTATTATTAAAATATTTGTTGATTCATTCATATATATATATATATATATATATATATATATATACATAAAATATTTTTAAAAACCATCCATTAGTCATTAATAAAAATACTATTGACGTAAGATCTCACATCGATTGGAGAGGAGAACGAAACATTAAGGGTGTGGAAACCTCCCTAATAGACGTATTTTAAATATCTGAGGGTGTGGAAACCTCCATAATAGATGCATTTTAAATATCTGCTATCGGTGAATTTGAGGTATTACAAATGATATTAGAGCCAGACACCAAACAATGTGCCAGCGAGGACGTTGGGCCTCCAAGGAAGGTAGATTGTTAGATCCCACATCGGTTGGAGAAGAGAACAATACATTCTACTCCAACCAACGTGGATACCTCTCCCTATCATACGTGTTTTAAAACCTCTCTCACAATATTTGATAGTTGTTACCATGAGTAAGATTGATAACTATGATTAAAATAACTTATTTATTAATTTAAATGTTTTTTTCGGTGTCGATATTCCATCGATATATTTATAAGATATAAACTTCGGTATCAAAATCTATATTTTAATCTTATTTACTGAGCATTTAGAACACCAACGTATGTAGCTTTGCCTTCTGTGCTGAAACAGAAGTTGTCACAGAACAGAATTTGCCGCCATTTTCAAACCAACTGGGGGTGATCACATTGAATCATTTATGAGAATTCAGGCTCTTGAACAAAAGTAAGCCTAAACTACCAACTGCAAGTGTTAGTAAAACTGAGGTGCTGATGGATTCAAAATCAGCAATCCTCCACCTCCCATCCTTATCAGCTTTCCCCCGGGAAATCTTCTCGCTCGAGCGCTCTCGGAGAAGATTGCTCAAATTGTCGACCTGGAGGATGATTTGGCGCTGCCCCCGTGCTATGTTTTGTATCTGGAAAGCACAAATATCATACTAAAAATGATTGAAACTTAAAACCAAAGAAGAAAAGAAGTGATATTCATCAAAATACCTCTTCCAGCGAGGGAGATTCCTTGGCCAATTGGGATAATGATGAAGAACTAGACAGTAATGATCCGGTTAAGGCGCCGTTACTCAAACCAGATATGAAAATCGAAGTCGCTCCGGTACCGTTGTTGTTTGCATCAGATTGTGAAGCCAAGTTCTGCTGGCTAGCAGAAACTTTTCTAGTACAGATCTTGGAGTTCAGCTCTTCAATGCGAGTTGTGAACTCATCCATTCTCTCACTGAGGGTAGAAATCTGTTCTGAAAGCTGAGTAATAGCTCCCTGAAAGATTTCGAGATCGATTTCCTCTACTCGTTCAGAAATATTGTAATGGATACTTATCTATCCTTCGAATCAGAAGTTTTTACCAACACGTTCAACATGTTCTAATGAATTATCAAATCACATTCAGATCCAGATTCTACCTAAAAGGTATCACACTAAGACTAAAAAGCCTTGGACCGAAAGAGAAGTTATCGTTCGAGGGTTCATAAGATTCATCATCTTCCTCAGCTATCCTATCTCGTCTGCTTTACGGGTCAATAAACCATGTGAATAAAGCTTTCTTGATGCAGAAAAACGTTTACCTGGTTAGAGACTCCTGCAGGGGAGTCTGGAGCCCTCACATCAAATCTCCTACTATTAACAGCAAGCTTTGTCAGCTTTGACAAGGTCTTGTCCCTCCGATTAGATAATGATTGTGATAAGCCACTGGAAATGATATCAAATATGAAAAGGATACAAAAATATGTAGGTTTTATAAGAATCCAAATGAACGATTAAAAATCTCTACTTTTCAGTGCTGCTACAATAAATAAGTCTACCGCCCAAGCCCACCGCTAGTAGATATTGTCCTCTTTGGACTTTCCCTTTCGGGTTTCCCCTCAAGGTTTTTAAAACGCGTCAGGCTAGAAAGAGGTTTCCACACCCTTATAAGGGGTGTTTCATTCTCCTCCCCAACAGATGTGGGATCTCACAATCTACCCCCTTCAGTGCCCAACGTTCTCACTAGCACTCGTTCCTTTCTCCAATCGATGTGGGACCCCTACCAAATCCACCCCCTTTGGGGCCCAGAGTCATTACCGGCATACCGCCTCATGTCTACCCCTCTTCGGGGAACAGCCTCCTTGCTGGCACATCGCCCGATGCCTAGCTCTGATACAATTTGTAATGGATATTGTCCTCTTTGGACTTTCCCTTTTGAGCTTCCCCTCAAGGTTTTTAAAACGCATCTGGCTAGGGAGAGGTTTCCACACTCTTATAAAGGGTGTTTCGTTCTCCTCCCCAACCGACGTGGGATCTCACAATAACTAATCTACACAGGCGATTATAACAACATTGATCAAACAGAGAATAATTTCACAGAATTTTTTTTCCCAGCAAGAAGTATTATATCCAACAGTTTGAAAGTAGGATGATACCGGTTAAGGTACTTGTTTCTCCAATCTGCAGAAGCTCGGGAAAGTGCTTCCTTTGGACTCGAAAGTGAATCGTCATCTATGCTGAGCTTGGTCTTTAAATCATCTGGCAAGGCCTACAAATAATCTCATTAGACTTACTGATCAGAGAACAATCTGCTTAATCTGTTCGGTTGTAAGTATCTTACTATAACATCATCAACAAGCTTCTCAAGCTGTATCTGTTCTATATAAGTTCGAGGGATATAGGAACCATCCAAACCCAACTGCTCGGCAATATATTTAACAAGCATCCGATCTTTTCCTTGCACCTTTGTCCACGTTCAGCAAGTTAGTAGTATGATAATACGAACCTGCTCAGTTTAAAAACAACATAATTTCTACACAAAATTTAGATATCATGTATGGGACGTCAATATCCAGGTGACTGAAAAAATGTGGCTAATGCCAGGTCATCTTGCTAGCCGCACGTTTAATTATTCGGAAAAAACTAACTAAAATTGTAAAATCCCACATCGGTTGAGGAGAGGAACGAAACACTCTCCCTAGTAGATGCGTTTAAAAAATCGTGAGGCTGACGACAATATGTAATGGGCCAAAGTAGACACTATCTGCTAGCGGTGGGCTTGGGCTATTACAAATGGCAAAGTCAGGTTCTAGGCGCCCAAGGGGGTGGATTGTGAGATCTCATATCGGTTGGAGAGAGAAATGAAGCATTCTTTATAAGGGTGTGGAAAACTCTCCCTAGTGGATGCATTTTAAAAACCGTGAGGCTAACGGCAATACGTAACGGACCAAAGTGGACAATATTGGCTAGAGATGAACTTAGGTTGTTTCAAAAATCACATATTTGGAGGGGGCAATATTGACTCGTGCTAATATATGTCATTCCTAGAAGTCCCTACATTATTAATCTATGAATGAAAGATGAACCGCATTGCAGAAAAAGGCAGACTATTAGTCCTAAAGCAGTATGGATAATGATTACAAGATGTACCTGAATATATTTACGGTTAAGTTGCTCCAACCAATCAATCTTTATACACACCCTATCATCAGAGAATATATGGCTGCTTCGTTTAAGAATGGTTGCAATTGTGTATCCGAGTGCCATAAGCCCTCCAAGAAGGCGTACACTAACTTCGAAAGTAATTCTAGGTGATATAATGAATGGAGTATCTGTAACCCACTCCTGCAGAAAAGGGGAGAGAAAATAATATATGTCCATATAAGCAGCCAATAGGTACCTATGTGATAAAATGAGATTAAAAACTCTACCGAGACAACTATGTGGTATGTGCATTAAGACTCGAACATAGATGCAAAAACATGTTGAGAATTGTTGGGAGGGAGTCCGGCATTAGCTAAGTTAGAGGATGGTCATGGGTTTATAATCAAGGAATAATCTCCATTGGTATGAGGCCTTTTGGAAAACCCAAAACAAAGCCACGAGAGCTTATGCTCAAAGTAGACAATATCATACCATTGTGGAGGGTCGTGATTCCTAACGAAACACACATGAAATACAGGTAAATATAGCTTGAAGGAACTCAGTTATATAGCGTTTGTTAAAGTGACCTCAAACATGAGACTGTATTTGCCATCCCTATTCCTCATCCTCAGATAGGATTGGCACACTTCAGGATCTTCACCAGGAGGTAGAAGATAAATGTCATAAGTTTCCTCAGTAAACTCCTTGTGATCTTCGGATATAACAGCCTTAATTTGTTCCACAGGTACTGCTTTCGTTGACTGTAACCCGAAAATGAACCCAGCTCAGAGTAAAACTCTTATGATTTAGACGAAAACGAAGTAAAGTTGATGCAGTTAACCAACTTAACCTTAAGAATGTAAGTAGGATTTTGGAAACCAGTAAAGGGATTGAATTTGTTGATAATTCTTATATGGGCAGTCTGAAGATCTGGCTCAATAAAAGCTTTATACATTGGATAAACCTGCATCCAAAAAAATTTATATGAACCAACGACAACATTTTATTACATGTGAATGGTGACAGAACCAAACATTTGAGAAATACAGCTAAAAGAAAGGACACACCGTTTCAGAAACTTGATGTATTATTTCTTCTGGCTCTTGGCCAACTCGCTGAATATCACGCAGTACTCGTTTGACTAAGTCAAAATGAACACCGCCAGTAATTGATACACGAAGATCTAGCAATGGACGTAATTTCTCACTTAAAGCGTAGATACCCTCAATAATGACGATTCGTGACATGGGGACTTCAAGAGTCCTGTTAGTAGCACTTGAAAGTAAGAACGTTAAAGGGTAAAAGATAAAGAAATGTTCTATTAGAGTAAGCACTAAGAGAAAATGGAAAACTAGATTCACGATCCTTTGAGACAGAAGCTATTACTTTGAAAAGATTAATGTCAGAATTAAGCATTTAAGCCTCTAAATGAAGCCAAAATTGACCAACATTACCTATAACCCGCGCGACTGCTAGTCTTGAAATCATAAATAGGAACCTGGACAGATTTTCCTTCTCTTAAACCATGAATTTTTTCCAGCAATGTATCGTAATCTGTTAAGCGTGGATCTGGTGAAAAGGGGGTCATTAGATATTTCCACTAACTTCAATTGCAAGAAATAATTGGAATGCATACTTTCTAAAAGGAAAACAGAAAGAGCATACTTGAAGGATCACTATATATGAGTATTAAGAATGAAAGTTGTTTATTGTATTCATTCTGCTAAACTCCAAGGCTATTTAGATATTAGATGCAGGCTAAAAAACTTACGAGAAGCTCGTGGCTCCATGATTTTGTTGATGGCAATGGAAAATTATAAGTTTCCCTGCCACCTCAGTTTAGGGAACACAAGCAAGAAGTATGAAGTACTAGAGGGCTCCAAACCCGTATCATTTGTAACAGCCCAAACCCACCTTTAGCATATATTATCTTTTTTGAGCTTTTCCTTTCGGGTTTTCCCTCAAGTTTTAAAATGCGTCTATTAGGGAGAGGTTTCTACACCCTTATAAGGAATGTTTCGTTTCCCTCTCCAACCAATGGGATCTCACAATCCACCACTTGGGGGCCCAACATCCTAGCTGGCATACCGCCCGGTGTCTAACTCTGATACCATTTGTAACAGCTCAAGCCCACCGCTGGCAGATATTGTCCTTGTTGGGTTTTTCCTTTCAAACTTCCTCTCGAGGTTTTTAAAACACGTTTACTATGGAGAGGGTCTAGCCCTACTCTAACCAGTGCCTCACACCGTCCGATAACTGTCTCTGATACCTTTTGTAACAACCCAAACCTACCACTAGCAGATATTGTCCTCTTTGGGCTTTCCCTTTCGGGTTTCCCTTCAAAGTTTTAAAACGCGTCTGCTAGGGAGAAGTTTCCATACATTTATAAGGAATGTTTTGAATGTTTTGAATGTTTTATTCCCCTCCAAATGATGTGGTATCAAAGCAGGAAGTATGAAGTACTGGAGGGCTCCAAACCAGTGTCACAAAATTGTAAACCATAGGTATATAACATATATCGCTCTCCTATCGTTAATATTTTTACCAAAATTGAGATAAATTGTCAGTAGAATGAAACCATACCATCAAAGTTGTCATCAATGATACGACTGGAATCATTGTAGTTATCCATCGTGATAACAGCAATGCTGGGTATAAAGTTAAGCACCTTCTCAGTAAACACAGTCTTCCCAGCTCCAGAGGGCCCTGCCACTCCAACTAGAATTATCCCATCATTCTTCTGAGACAACAATTGGCACGCACGGATTACAATGAAGAAACCTTTCTCAAATGAAAGAGGATCTTCAATTGGAAGAATCTCATATCGATTCGAGTCCTTCTTCTTAACTAACTGGACTTGATCTCGCAATAGTCCAGAACGCCTCCGAGATGATTCAATGCTAGAAGACGTATCTTGAGCCATTTAGATGTTTTTTCCTGTTTGATGCAGAACGATCAAGCGCATAAGATAGAGCTAAATGCACTTCTAAAACCAGAAGAACCAATTCAACAAAACTTCCATTTTGACCAAGAACTATTACATCTTTCCGAACAAAGTGTATAAAGAGTACTAAATTTGACACATAAGAAGAGAATAACTACACGGCCTTGAAAATCTACACATACCCAGAACACAAACTTAGCAGAAATATGAATCAAAGTCCAAACAAAACAACATAGTAGACACAGATTAGCACAAATTTAACCCACAAAAGAGAAACAAAAGAGCAAGCAAACCTTCTGGCACTGCTGCCTGGTTTCTGAAGATCGAACGAATGGCGGAGCACTAATTATTGGGTTTTCTCAAGTGGGGTCTTTTTCTTTTCGTAAATGGGTTTTCCTTTTTCATGAACATGAATGGCGGGACGTCTGAATGAGAGGACGTGTGGTCCGATTCCTTGAACTAATGGGTCTCAAGGAGCATGAGCATCAATACGAACTAGGTGGTTAAAAAGAAACAAGTAGATTAAATCAATAAAAGAGGGTACGATGATCAGATTGAGAAGCATCATATAACCGCGATCAGCTGAACAAAAGGAGGCCAGGTGGAAAAAGTTACAAACGAATTCAATTCGTTGCTGTAAGTGATTCGAACAGACTTTTCCCCGCTCAATGAGTGTGGAAGGGACTTTTCCTTTAGCCCCATGTGCGAGAGGCCGTGGCAATGCAATCGCCAAATGCAGGAAAAAATCGAAGGATTGAAGAGGGAAACATTACCCAACTTCATATGGTGTAGTAAAATGACAGCTTAGATGGAATCAATGAAAGTCTACAACGATGAACAGTTTGGATGCTTGGCGCGAGCCTATCATCGAACAGGCTGTGTGGACTGCTACAGAGATGAAAAATCAACCTAATCGATCATATCAATACTCAAAAGATCACCAAACTTTTGCCCGCCACTGTTGGAGACCGCGCAACCCCTCAATCAGCTTTTACTTGCAGCTACTAATGGGTCAAGATCATCTTTCTTTAGCTATTCCAGGCACTTGAACACCTGCTGTTCTTGCCTTTGCTTGCATCACATATAACACTAATTTCAATCTTTCAAACATTGTTCTCAAAACTCTATTTTGAAATCTCTCTACTCTATTTCCTAATACAAATATTGCTCTCAAAACTCTATTTTGAAATCTCTCTACCCAGTTTTCTAACTCAAATATTGCTCTCAAAATTCTATTTTGAAATCTCTTTACCCTGTTTTCTAAAACTTTCTTCTTGAATCGGGCCAAAATCTCGAGCATACAAGAATGAATTGGCTTAATTCACTTTAAGAAGAATGTGCAGCACAATGGCAAGTCTACCATCAAAAGTGCTATTGTGACAAGGAAACTGTGGACATAATCTTTGTAAACTCTATTAAATAATTTTATCAAAATTCACAAATTTAAACAATAAGATATATTCTTTTAATTCTCGTCAATTTTGTATGTACTCATTTTAATAAACTAATTACATTGTTTTTAACTCATGAGAGGGTAAAAAATGTAACGCTTGTTAAAGTTAATGGTTATTTTCTTGTAAACTCTTGTGGTGAGAGATTTTTACTCCTTTAATTTAATAGACTTAAAAGTAAATTTTCCTTCTTTATTTTTTCAGTTTTTACTTACTTAGTACTTATTTTAACAGTGCGGTTAAAATTGAATAAGTCAATGCTCCAGCTATTTTTTTAAACAAAATTTATAAAGTTTTCGGAAAATAATAAATATACATAGATATATATATATATATATATATATATATATATGAAATTGTCGACTTATTTATTTATTTTATTTTTATTATTATTATTTTTTTAATGTTTAACGCATTAGTCCATAAATATTTTGATATTTTAAATAATTTAGCCTTGTAAATACGTTATTGTAGTTAATTAGTAATTGCCATTAAGAATATATAATAAATTAGAACTCAGCTGTCCCAGATATGGATGTCAGCTCAAATCACAAAATCACAAAACTCCGTTTCTCATGATTTCAGGTGTTTCAGATCTCAGTTCGGAAATCTGATTTGACATTTCTTGATTCTGAGGCGGAGTTCGAGGCGTCGGTGAAATTTGTATGCATTTTTGAAGCTCAGATTGAAGAAGAAATGGGCTGCACATTTTCAGGATTGAATGCTTTCTACGATGCCGCGAATAGCGGTGGGGATGTGTGGATCAATGAGAACAGGTTTAGAATCGTTAGGCAGCTCGGTGAAGGTGGCTTTGCTTATGTTTTCCTCGTCAAGGAGGTGCTCGCTGATTCATCTTCTGACTCTGTCCGCGGTGGTTTGCGCAAGAAATTCAAGGACTCCGCTCATCTATCTGGTTTCAACTTTCTCTCCCTCTCACGCGCACACATTATTTATTTCGTATTTTTTGTTGTGCTGACTGTTTACGAACTTCTTGATCCGCGAAATTTGATATTGCATCTTCATCGATAGGTTCATTCCGAGCGAAATAATCTAGTTATGTGGTTTTATGATTTTGGCCTATTTGCGCTTGAATCTGAATCTATGTCAATGGTTTTTCTTAATCCAGTATGGCATTCGCACGGCCGTTTCGGTAGTTCTCCAGCTGATCTGAATGTATAACGAAGATTTCATTTTGATGTTTTCTAATTAATTAAAAAAACGAAGTTGTTCATACGACTCTTAAATTTAAGTTTCAAAATGTAAATGTAAGCTTAAGTTGTGATTCGAATTTCATTTTTTTTTAATCTTCAAAGAGCTGTAGGCTGCTATGCCCTCTGCTAATTAAATCGTGCAAGCACGTATCTTCGTTTTTGTATTGAATACGATGCAGCGGCTACTTACTTTTGACTAAGAAATTGGGGTTTGCTGCTGCTGTCTCTCCTCTTTGATAGTTTATTAAATTTGGTATCTGTAGTGATGTTTTAATATATTTAGTCTTACAGGTATTTACAATGACTAATCACTTGCTCTCTCGCTTATTTCGGATGTGGATGTTTCATCTATGAATATCTTCATACTTGGGTTCTGCTGCGATCTCTTCATAATTAATTTATAGATAATCATGTCTTTCATTTTTTGGGTTTTACCTCCATCTTAGGAATAATGGACATAATATGTGAGATCCCACATCGGTTGGAGAGGGAAACGAACCATTCCTTGTAAGGGTGTGGAAATTTTCCCCTAGTAGATGCATTTTAAAACCATGAGCCTGAAGGCCATGCGTAATGGACTAAAGCAGACTATATCTGCTAGTGGTGGGCTAGGGCGGTTACAATCATTCCTGAACCAAGATGGAAAGATTTGTTGCTTCCTGGATAGAAGTGTTTAATGTGCAAAAATTTGTTTCAAAGTGCCATTCTAATGAAAATACATCTTCAATTTCCAGGCTAGTCAACCAACTAAAACCAGCTTTTGTTGCTTTATTTGCACAGATGATGGTTCATACGCACTGAAAAAGGTGCTCATTCAGAACAATGAACAGCTGGAATTGGTGAAAGAGGAGATCCGTGTTTCATCTCTGTTTAGTCATCCCAATCTTCTTCCTCTTCTTGATCATGCTATAATAGCTACTAAGGTGATTGTCAAGGCCCTCGACTTAATAAAAAAAAAAAAAATTATTTGATGAGAAAAGCAGTAAAATCCTTGTGTGATCAACCTTACCTCTATTTATTCTCCTCTTAAAGTGAATTGCATATGAACATACAATTCCAATTTCCTTGCATACATTGAGAATATTGTTTGGAATAATTGTCGTCTCGAAAGCATTTACTGACTTGAAAATGAAATTTATCCTCGGTGTACACTTTTTACTTTTTTAGTAAAATTTGGGTTCATGGTTCTATCTCCTTTTGTTTATATGTCGGTGGCATCTGTCCCTGGTGATGTACACTATCTGTGGTTATCTCTGCTATTTTATGTCTTCCTCTCAGTATATCCTTATATGTTTTCATTTATATTTACCATTTTTGTATCAATGGTTAGCCAACTCAAGAACGATCTTGGCACCATGAAGCATACTTACTATTTCCAGTACATTTGGATGGAACATTATTGGACAATGCGGAAACCATGAAAGCAAAAAAGGAGTTCTTCTCAACATCAGATGTTTTACAAATATTTCGACAGGTAACTTGGAGTTTGGAACTTCAAATAATTTATCTTCTCTTTTAACATTGGATTGTTTTTGTTGCATCATAAATTCTATAATGTTGTTCTTGTCATGGTGTTCAACCGTCCTCTGCCGGATATTTTAAAAGGTCCTCTATCTATTTGAATTTTCCATTGGCCTCTTCTACTTCTTCCCCCTTCTTTAAACACGAAGAGATTATGGTATCATGCATGCTTTGGAAAGTCCTTTTTTCTTACGGATTGAATTAATTGAACACAGCTATGTGCGGGTCTCAAGCACATGCACAATTTTGATCCCCCATATGCACACAATGACATCAAGCCTGGTAACGTTCTCATAACATATAGAAAGGGCCAGCCTCCTCTTGCTATATTGATGGATTTTGGAAGTGCTCGACCTGCAAGGAGGCATATTAGCTCTCGTTCAGAAGCACTGCAGTTACAGGTTACCTCTATCGCTGTTCTTCCTTCAAGTCCACTACAGTTAAACCGTATCAGTTTAGACTTCTGCCACATGAAACTTTCCAGATAAATGCGAACTTTTTGCACTTCACTCTTAAGTTAGATAAAAATATAAATGAGCTGATAATTATCATAATTTGCTGTGTAGGAATGGGCAGCCGAACACTGTTCTGCTCCTTTCCGAGCTCCTGAGTTGTGGGATTGTGCAAGCCATGCAAATGTTGACGAAAGAACTGATATCTGGTCATTAGGATGCACTCTATATGCTATAATGTGAGCACCAATTTTTTACCCTGAAGTTGTGATTATTTTATGGATTTTGGAATTGTATGCACGTGCCATAACTTATGTAAATAACTCCCATGCATGCTGCAATACTGGAATTCCTGTCTACTCGTCAATCCCTCCTAGTTTTGCTCCCTTTTTCTTTCTTTCTGTTATTTACACTAGAATAAATGTGGAGATGGCAGTTAGGTCAACTGAGAAAACTTTAAATCATGGATATAAGTGCTTTAGAATGATTCTTTTTTTTTTTTTTTTTTTTTTTTTTTTTTTTTTTTTTTTTTTTTTTTTTTTTTTTTTTTTTTTTTTTTT